ACATTCTTCTATGTGGTATAGCACTGGTCTGTCGATATGCTGTAGAGAGGTAACTCATGGTTGCTGTGATGCTGAATACTGTGACCCTGATGTGCCAAAAGCAATACTAGTCATTCATGGTGGACAGTGTTTGTTGGAGCTCCCCAATTAAAACAAGCTTGGAAGCAGGAGTGGCATCCCCTTCCGAAACCCTATGAACTTGGAAAAATGAAGAAAGTTAGACAAGTGTTCAGGTCTTTCATTCATAGGGTTGCTATGAGTCCTCTATGACTCGATGGCATTTAACAACAACAACAATCACTATGCATCTACAATTTGGACCATGAATAAAGAAGATTGAAGAGGAATCGATCCCTTTGAGTTATGATATTGGTGAAGAACAGTGACAACCCCAAGAACTGTAAAAAAGAACAAGCCAACCCGCCTACCCTGGAGGAGGGGCAGCCAGGGTCTCCTTAGAGCAAAGACGCTGAGTCTTCGTCTCACATACTTCATCCACTGGGCGCATGTCATCAGGAGAGGCCAGTTATTTGAAAAAGAGGGTCAGAGAAAGAGAGGACAACCCTCAACAAGATGGATTGTAACGGTGGCTGTAACAACGTGCCTGAGCAGATCAGAGATGACGATGAGGACGGTACAGGACAGGGCAGGGCTCAGACCTGTTGTTTAAAGGGTTGTTACGAGTCATAGTTGACTCAACTATAAACAAGGACCACCTGATGTTGGGGTGAACATGGTCAAGATTCTGACAGGAAAGGGTTCTTGGGTCAATAACTTAAGAGACACAGGCAGGTACGAACTCTTGGCCTGAGGAACCCTGGGCAGGGGTACACACATGAGCTCACACCCACATACACATAAGGCAGTTAGTTTCTAAAGCCTCCAGCTCACTTGCCTGGCCTCAGATGGGCAGCATCTGATCTTCTCAGGCGCTGTGACTGCAGACTAAGGTAACCCCTGTGGTATCAGACTGAGCAAACACCCACCCTCTCTTGTACGACTCAAATGAAGACTTCTTGAATAGGCAATTTTGAGAACAGATTAGCAGAGAAGAAAAGAAAATGTAGTGACATTAACCTAAGTAACCAATCAGTGTCATTTCTTTTAAAATAGAGACTAGGCGATAAAATAAAAAGCTCTTTGCCTGATTAGCTGAAGAGGGAAATGACAGCGTGTTCCTTGAGGACGGTTCCTGTGCCTCCAGACAGGCTTGGATTGGGCCAGAGTGTGAAGCCCAGTTTCTCATACTGCATGATCAGGGTTGCTGAAGTCACTTCAGCCACCGCGACCGAACAGGATCCAAGGGACACAGGACACCGCTGCCGTGAGTTACTGGAGCCAGGACGGGTGTCTGGGGTGTTTTCAGGACAAGTCAAGGTGATTTTCAATTTACTCCACATCAACCGTCACTGACACTTACAGATGCAGGTGAACAGCACGCCTACGTCTCACTTAAAAAAGGTTGTTGTTGTTGTTATGTGCCATCGAGTCATTTGTGACTCATAGCGACCCTATGTACAACAGCCCTAAACCCTGCTCTATCCTGTGCCAATCTCATTGCCTCTGACACACCCATCCCGACTACCCCAGTCACTGAATCAATCCACCTCATAGAGGGTCTTCCCCTCCTGCGCTGTCCCTCTATTCTACCCAGCATGATGTCCCTCTCCAAAGACCTGTCTCTCCTTACATGTCCAAAGTATGTTAGATGGAGCCCCAGAATCCTTGCCTCCAAGGAGCAGCCTGGTTTAATCCTCTCTACGATAAATCTGTTTGTTTTCTTGGCAGTCCATGGTACATTCAATACTCTTCTCCAGCACCACAGCTCAAAGGCGTCAATTCTCCTTCTATCCTCCCTAGTCATTGTCCAACTCTCTGATGCATAACAAGTGGTTGCAAAAACTATGGCCTGTATCAGGCGAACCTTAGTCTCCAGAGAGACACTGTTGCTCTTGAGTATTTTGGAGAGGTCCCTAACCGCAGACTTTCCCATCGCAATACGTTTTTTGATTTCCTGGCTACTGTGCCAAGAGTGTTGACCGTGGAGCCGAGCAAACTGAAGCTGTGAACAATCTCAATCTCTTCGCCATCCATCCTGATGCTACCGATTGGTCCGATGGTGAGAATTTTTGTCTTCTTGACATTTAGCCTCAGTCCATATTGAAGGCTGCAGTCCTTGACCCTCTGCAGTAAGTGCATGAGGTCCTCCTCAGTTTCAGAGAGCAAGGTTGTGTCATCTGCATAACGCAGATTGTTGATAGATTGTCCACCAATCCCAAAAAAAGGTTACATACTTCAAAAATGTGTATTACTTAAGATGACTTCGTTCGTACTTCAGGCACCTCCACTGCCTAGTCTCCAGCCCCAGCCAGTGAACTTGACTCATCACCCAGTTCAAAGCCAGGTCTGTGCTGAGCACAGCTTATAGAAAGTAACAGCTGCTAAGGGCCAATTACCAGAGTAAACATTTGTGTTTCCAAAGTGAGCAAACAGGATGTTATTGTTGTTGTTATGTACCATCCAGTCTGAATCAATTAATTCATAGCAGGTATTCAGAGGCAGTAAATCCCACAGGAGACTGCCCAGCCTTCTGCAATGCAGGTGGTGTGGTTCGAACCGCATCCCTTTGAGTTGCCAGCACAATTCCTTAGCACTAAGCCACCAGAGCTCCCAGCAAATAGTATACCAATTCCTAGACAACCATAGAAAGAACGACCAGTCATTATTGCCCTACCAAATGTGACCTGTGTGTGGAACCCTGACCTGTCCATGACTAAGTCAGAAATAACACTTTTAGAACAACTGAAGCCAGAAGCAGCCATCACAATATACCCTTTCCTGTCACAACCAAAGCTGTCTGGTCCCAGTTGATGGCAAGGATAGTATTCCAGAAGTTTCCTAGACACCACCTCCATGATGACCCACATCCCACAATGGAGTCTTCAAAGTTCCTCAAAGAGAGAGAAGGTTAGATGACGCTTACACCCAAGAACACCAGCGACTCAGAGAACTCACTTTGTAATGGGACAGACTTTCTGTCTACTGTGAACCTGAGCCCCAAAAGCAGAAGAAAAAGGACAGAGGACAGTTCTCAACCACTATTTATGCTGGGTCACCGTCCCCAGAAACAATCTCCTCACATAAATGTCAGTATGGGGAGGGAAAAAAAATTAGATGCTACTCAAACGTCTGTGCCGATACCACTGTCAGAAGGAGGCCGGTGGTGAGTAGCCAAAGTGTTTGGCAACCTAAAAGATCAGTGGCTCTGCAGGAGAAAGATGTGGCAGCCTAGTTGTTGTTGTTGTTGTTGTGTGCCATCGAGTCAGAGCCGACTCAGTCGGTTTTCAGAGTCAGCAAACTGCACAGGAGGAAGGGGCCTAACCTTCTCCCATGACACAGGTGGTGGATTTGAACTGAGTGCCTTTGGGATCACAGTGCAGCATCTCATTAGGTCACCAAAGTTTCCCTCGTAGCAATTAAAGCCTTGGAACCCCTCTGGGGCAGTAGTGTCGCTATGCAGGACAACACTCAACAGCTGGGTGTTTGGGTTTGGAGGTCGCTGTAGGACAACTATTAACTCATGTAGATGACATGCTTCTTTCCTGTACTGTAAGTAAATTATTTCTATTTAAGCATTTTGATTATTAGCAAATTTTCACTGTAACAGACATAGGATGAGGCAAACTGGTTAAAACCTGTACCAAATCATAATTACATATTAACATAGTAAATCCTGAATATAAAGACTGGTAAATCCTCTAATACATGCACTTCCTGAACTAGATTAGTTTTCAGGCTTGGAGAAAAGACTAAATAATCATTTCAAACTCTTTACAGACCCATCAGAGAGTTGTTTAATCCATTTAAATCCAAATATAGATCAGATTCAGATCCAGTGTTATTTCTACTGTAAGGGTAGAACAACTTCTTATTCACAAATTCCATGTTATAATGGCATGAAAAATATCCACAGGAAAACGCAACCATGAAATTCAAAGACACAACAACAGATTGTACGCAAGACCGCTGAACTTCTCTTCTCTACTTCTCAAGTGTCCTATAATATGCCAAGCTTCTGTAATGTAAAAAAAAACAAAACACCAAAATGATAAGTTAAAGAATTTACGGTTACAAAACACAGCAGACTTTATAAAGCAATTCTGCAAACAAATATGCAAGTAAAAGACATTTATTTAAGTGCCATGAAGATGATGTCTGGTGGACGAGTGCACGAGAGGTGCCAGGACACCCCTCCTTGGAAGGGGAGCAGCAAGGTTCCTTTCCTGTGCACCCCGGCTTCTCACCACAGCACGTATGACATAAACATGTGTGACTTCCCATCACAGCATGTCTGACGTACAGCAGGTGCGATTTCTGCTTTCTCCTCAGCTCCACAGCCTTGGGAACTACGCTGCGCTTGAGGACGTGCACTTAAACTTGGTTTTCTGGTGAGGTTTGTACAAAAGTAGCAAAACAACCGGCTAACGATGGTGTCACTGGAAGAACAAGCCCACACAGGCACTAAGGGCTCAGCTGGTGACAAAGAGACCGTCGAGGCCGACTCACAGAGAGGCTCTGCCTGTGAAGCCTGGACACCTGCCGCAGTAAAGACGACCACACGGCAGTTCTACTCTGTGAGACAGGGTCGCTGTGCACTGGAATCGATGGACAGTGCCCACTAACATCAACCACTGCTGATGAAAGCGCTGCCATGGTAGGCAACCAAGTCACCTCAGTGCCCAGGCGCTGAGGGGAAGGGCCAGGGGCTCGCCAGAACATTGCAGGATGTTTTCTAGATACAAAACAACTCAACAGAAAAAAGAAAAAAATAGCCTAGTGGACATTCCAAGTTAGTAACTTTTCAAGCAGAAGGGAATAGAAATGTCGATTCTGTTCATTATATAAAAATAGAATTCACTCCAGAAGAATGTTAATGTTGGTTCATCAAACCCGGTCCATGAGTGCATCCGGGCCGCTGCCCAGGCGCTGGAGGGTCCTGGTTACAGCTGCTGGCTGGTGAAGAAGGACTTGGTCTCCCGGCAGACGGGGTTGACACACAGCGGGCAGCTCAGGGTCAGCTGCTTGGAGCAGCGCTCATTGGACTGGAGGTGCGTGAGGACCAGGTCAGCCAGCGCCTTACAGACAGACAGACAGACAGCAGGGGGTAAAGGTTAGTCAGGAGTGACCTCCTCCCCTGGGCGAAGATAATCACTGTGGTGAGGGGGCTGCTTTTGATCTGAGCTGGGCATCCTCTGACACAATCCGACAACACAGCCCCTCTCCCAGGAGGCCTCGGCTGGGGGGCAAATGAGGGTGGGGAGGTCAGAGCCTGAGCCCACGTCTCCCGGGTGTGGACCAGGGGTGTGGTGGACGTCAAGAGGCTGGGGGCTGTCCGAAGGGGAAAAAGAGGGCACATGGGAGGAATTCTACTTTATTTTTGTAATTCATTGGCACTCCTTGTTCTAATGTGTGTGTGAAGACCAGGATTTGCCGGGGCTTCAGGGAGGGGCCTGGTACCTTGTAGAACAGTGGGTTCCCGTTGAGAGATTCCACTCTGCGGATGTTCTCGACGCCGCACTGCAAGTAAGGAGAAAAAAAAAAGACTAAATGCATGGGCTTTATTTTGCATTTGTTTTTTTATTTCCCTAAGAGGTGGGCTGCTACCGAAAAGAAAAAAGACACAGAGAGAGAGCGAGAGAGAGACAGAGAGAGGGGGAGAGAGAGAAACACACACACACACACACACACACACACACACACACACACACACACACACAGAGCGAGAGAAGGAAACCAGCACAGCCCCACGCACAGCTCAGTCTGACTTCAAAAGCCTTCAAGGCAGCAAGGGGGCGCAGGGCCAGGCCCCACATCTGCTCATCTCCATCTCTGTTATCACAGATTGCCCTTCGGCTTCTGTGTCCACTGCCACATGTGGTTTGCTTCTGAACCAGTTCTGAGGTTACACTTTCTGGAATCCTACGGTCCTTCCAATCTGCTCACCACTCTTTTTTCATCCGTCCTTCCTCGGGCCTTCTGCAGACTCTTACTCAAGTCAAACGCTGCTTTTATTATGTCAATTTTGTCAGACCCTTTTTGATCGCAAGTGCCAAAATGAAGCAAATTGGTCTCTGGGCCAAAGAGTGTGTATATGGACCCTGGACTGGCTTCAGTTCAGGGCTGAGTTTTTTATTTTTACAGAGAACACTTCTCTGAACAACTTGAGGCTCTTTCTCCTCCCGTCCTGCTGCCTCCTCTGAAAACACGGCTGACCTGTCCCAATTCAAGAACGACCTCAGTGCCATGGAGCTGTACCTCGGAGAGCCAGGTTCACCCCTGCCCTTCAAGCAGATAGCTTTCCAGGGGCTTCATCTTGAAATTAAAAGGAGACTTGGTGGCACAGGGTTAGGCACCTAGCTAATAACCTGAAAGATGGCAGTTCAAATCCACTCAGTGGCTCCACTGAAAAAACACCTGGCACTTGGTTCCCATAGAGAGTTTTAAAAAAAAAAGTCAAATCCAGTGCATCGTGTCAGTTCTGACTCACAGCAACCCTACAGGAGAGAAGGTCCCATAGAGTCTCCAAGCCGTGATCCTTACAGGAGCAGACAGCCACAGGTCAGAGCGGTTTGGTGGGTTTGAACAGCCCATGTCTTGGTTCACAGCCTGATACTAACTGATGTTTAGGCTGGCAGGTAAGCCTATCCAGGAATCCTCCCATAAAGATTACAGTCCATAAAACCCTCAGCGTTTCTCTGCTCTGTCACATGGGGTCACTCTGAATTGGAAGGGACTTGTTAACACACAACAAAAACATCTTTAACATTAACATCAGGAGACTGCCATGAGAGAAAAGCTGAGGTTCAGCAAATGCACGGCTTTCAATCTCTCAACTTCGAGAGAGGTTTATTTTCAAGGTCCATGTCCAAGCTCTGTGCAAACCTGAGATTTAGCAGCTTCTTCCTACAGGGAAATCCAGTAAAGTGCGTATCAAAAAGGGAACTGTATATACTCCTAACATTCCATATCTAGGAATTTCACCCAGGAAAACAAATGGAAAATGCACAAAGAAGCATATTTATGACTAAGCAGTTCACTATAGTGAAAACCACACCTTAAATATATACTAATCATTGATTTATTGGAAAAGATAATATCATTTTAGGGGAGTTATGATGACCAAGTGACAAGTAGTTGCACTGCAAATGAAAAGTAAGTAGCTTGAATCTCCCAGTTACTCTGAGGGAGAAAGATTGGCAGTCTCCTCCCATGCAATTTACAGTGTCTGAAAACCCACGGGAGGGTCAGCTGTGAGTTGGTTCTGACTTAATGGCACTCAACTACAACTGTTAGGTACACAGCATATTTTTTTTTGTTATAACCTTTTTCTTTTAATTAATTTTAATAGACATTTACAGAGGTTTTGGATTTCCATTCATTCATTGCCGCACTTTTCTCCCTGCCCACCCCTCCCCACCAGTTCGCTCCCTTCTCTGAAAAGAAAAAGAAAAAAAAAATTCCTTCATTAGTACACAATTCCCCCATCCCTTCCCCCTACCCCCACCCCAAGTACACTTCTCTATGCAACCTTAATTCTGGATTCCTGTGCTAACCATAATAATCATGTATCACCTCTAATCTGTACACAGCTTATTTTTAAGCAAAGAAAAATGTCAAACCAGTAGGAATAAATATAACTTTTTTAAGTACGTAGATGAATATAATTTTTATGAAAGTACGCAACTGGATGAAAAGACGAACAGATGTTACAGATTTCTGAGAAGAAAGCTACGATTGAGTTCTCTTCTCTTCATTAGACTTCTCTGAACTCTCTGAACTCCACTATTTTCATCAGCAAAAAAGCAAGAAAGCTTTTCAAATTCTGGGGCGGGGTGGCAGGGGATATTCCAACTATTTATTAAAGAAAGTGGTTTTAAAGTTTTAAAGTCAGTGCATTTGCCTATACGAATAGTAAGTCAACTACAGCTCGGTGGTTTTCCTTACCCACTATCATGTTATTAGTTGCTACAGAGCCTTGGTGTCACAGTGGTTAAAGCACTAAACTGCCAACCGCCATGATCTGATGACCCAGGCCCCACACAGGTGGAAGATGTAGCAGTGTCCCTCCCCTACACTTACAGCCTCAGAAACGCTGGGAGAAGTTCTACCCTAGGGGAGCTCTGGTGGCCTAGTGGCAAGAAGCTGCAACTACAATCCCAGAGGCGCACGGTTCGAATCCACCAGATGCTCTGCTGGGGAAGGAGGGGAAATCTCCTCCTGTACCAGTCAGATCTGATTTGATGGTACACGTACACACACACACACACACACACACAAGTTCTACCCTGTGTTACAGGTCACCGTGAGTCACACTGACCCTAGTGGCTGTTGGATTTTGGGTATGAGATTTGCATTAACTTTATCCAAAGAATTTGGTCTTTGCTCTTAGCTCTTGACAGATTTAAAATTAAAAAAATTGTGTCTAGAAATTTAACCTAGAAAAACAACTGGAAAATACACAAAGAATTATATTTATTACTGAGTAGTTCACTAGGGGAGTTCTCGTGGCCTAGTGGTAAGAAGCTGTGCTGCAATCCCAAAGGCACGTGGTTTGAATCCACCAGCTGTCCCACGGGATAAGGATGGGCAGTCTCCTCTGGTGTGACTAAATGCCTTTAAAACCCAGCTAGGTGTCAGTTCTGACTCGAAAGTACACAACAACAGTTCACTACGGTGAAAAATCATATCTTAAATATATACTAATCACTGATTTATGGAAAAAACATAGTATCTTTTAAAAAAATTGCATTTTTTTTTAAAAAAAAGGGGTTCTCAATTTCCCTAGTGGTCTAAGTGTCTAGCACAAGGACCCCAAACCAAATAGGTCATAACAGAGAGAGGGGACTCTGGGAGGGGGGCTGGCTAGAAGGAACCCCATGTCTACGTAATACTCCCTGCTCATCACAGACCTCAGGGGGGTGGGGCTGCGGTTTGCATTATACCATGGCCCCCCCACCCCCGGACACCTTATCTAAGGACGAGCTCCTGAACCCTGAAACTCAAAGTTCTCAGGAGCTGGCTTCCTGTGCCCTGTACCTGGTGTGCACCTGGTGAACTCTGACCTGGGGAGAGTGTGAGTGGAGGGGACGCTGCCTGCACAGAAGGTCTCAGGGCTGAACAGAGAGGTAGAGTTGTGGGGCAGGGGCAGGAGGGTGCAGGGAGTGGATCTGGTTGAACATTTGCTATGTATTGACTCAGTCACTGATAGCTAACTTACTTATGAAGTAAAGCAGCTTAGTAATACAAATGACTGTGAAGGAGCACTCCCATTCAGACAGAAACTTGGGTTTGGCACAAACCTGCGTGCACAGTTTCCGAGCACACCTCTTCAGAGCACGCAGCCAGCTCAGGTGGCTGAGGGGTTCAGTGAGCGACCCCCACAGATAACCCTGCACCCTCACTGCAATCAATCACAGCTTTCCCATAAGCCCCTTCTCAGAACTGCTGCCCTTACTTCCTCAGCTCTGACTGGAGGCCACTCCCCACACAACCCTGGTGGTGGGGGGAGGCTGGGGACGGGGAGTGGGCTGCACTTCCCCAACATGCTCATGCTGCCCTGCACCTGCCGTCCAGCCTCAGAGAACCCAGAGGGGGCGAGGTGTTCTCCAAGGCCAGGCATCCATCCATCACCCCGCGGATGGCCAGAGCAGCAAATGGGGGGACAGGGTGTCGTGGGGACCCACAGTTCCCATAGAAACCACACTCACAGTGGGCCCAGGGTGCAAGCCCACCCTCAGAAACCAAGAGACAGAGCTGCAGCAGTTTTTCTCCAGCCTGAATGGAGACCCACATCCATCTTCCCCACATGACACTAAGGACGGTTTCTGTTATTTCAATACGCAGATTGATCACACTGCAGGCGTGGACGGCTAATTAAGGGAACGCATAAGCAAGGCTGAGGAAATGACCGCACACCAGCTTCAGTGATGCCGTCCTCTTGTACTAAGTGAGACAGTGACACCACAGCCCAAGTCCACGGAGGAACATGGCTGAGCGACACGTTTAAGTACCTGCAGAGATGGCCCCCTTTTCCAACAGGTACCTTGGACAGAGAAACTGGAGCCCGGCACTCACCTCGCTGGCGAGGACCTGCGCGTACTCGATGTCCAGCTCGTACAACGTTTCGATGTGGTCACTGGTAAAGGCGATGGGGACCAGCAGGATGTTCTTCCGGCCCCGCTTACAGAGCCCTTTGATAGTCTCGTCCGTCTGCGGGCCCAGCCAGGCCATAGGGCCAACCTGTGAGAAGGGAGGGTGAGCAGACAGGCATCCACTCCCAGCCGCTGCCCCTACACACACCTGCCTTAGAGGGGCTCAGGTCACGCGACACCTACTCCAATTACTTTGGTATTTCCACATGTAAGTTGAACCTTCTAGAAGTTGTTATTGTTGTTAAGTGTCGTCGAGTTGTAGACGACTCATGAGCAACCCTAAGAATGAAAAACCTGAACATTTGTATAACTTTCATAGTTTCTCCACATTCAGAGAGTTTCCAGAGGCACGCTATCTCGGAAGTGGATACCACTCCTGCTTTCAAGCTTGTTTTAATCGGGAAGCTCCACCAAACACTGTCCACCATGCATAACCATTATCGCATTTGACACATCAGTGTCACAGTGTTCAGCATCACAGAAACCACTGGTTACCTCTGTACAGCAAATGGACAGACCAGTGCTGTACCACTTAGAAGAATGTTCGACCAAAAACAATTAAAACAAGGCCTGAGGGCTGCAGATTAAAATCACCCACATTTGGCTTGGTAGCATCACTTTCTGTCCACTTGGCCAACAGAGCTTTCTCTGTATAGTTATAAATAACAGTATGTGGCATTACAATCAAAAGGAATATACTAAATCAACTAGCCAGTGGGTCTTGAGTCCATCGGACTCGCTTTCCTTCTAGCAGTGGTGAGCAATCAGGATACAGTCCAAGTGACTGGTCCCGAGCTGACCGTTTTATAACTAAGTCCTAAAACAGACTTTCCCAAAAGGCCTGTCTGCCAGCAAGCATGGGGAGGCCACCCACCTTGGACTGCCACACCAGCCGGTAAGGGTTGGAGCAGCCCAGCTTCTCCATGACTCTGTGGACAGTGGCTCCTACCTCCTGAGGGTAGGGGTCCCCTCTGTTGACCACCTGCAGTGGAGACACAAAGGTTCAGGTGGTTTAATGTGACAATGTGACTTTCTTAGGTTTGATCATTTTACTACAGTATATAGATGTATCTAGCAAAGCTGGGTGAAGGAAACAGGGAAGTTTTCTTTTTGCTACTTTTTTATCAGTTGAAAATTATTGCTAAATGGGGAAAAAAGTCATTAGAAACAAATGCCCTGGAAAGTTTTAGAGGCATATTCTTCCTTTCTAAGGCCTGGGCCTCCCTGCCCTTCACACCCCTCATAGACGCCTGGTATTCTTCAGTCCTACAGGGGACCCGGCAGCCACAGAAAACCAGGAAGGAGCATGTCCATTCCTGGGGACGGGGAAGGGACATGAGGAGCTGGCTGAGATGAGAGAAGGCCACACCTGGAATTGTTCACGTATAAAACATACTTCTCCTGACACGCTCTCCTCATATACAGGATGGTTATCAGAAGGATGAGGCAAGGGAGGAGGGTGAACATGCAGCAGGATTTGATGACACCAGAAAGGGAAATCCCAATGTCCAGGATCTCTAAGGCCACCTACTGCCGAGAGCAGGGACTGTGATGCGGCTGAAGGCCGGAGGTGCGGCCACCAGATGGCAATCGCGGCTGGCAGGCACTCGGGGCCCCAGAAACCTACAGCTCACACCACTGACCACTCATACAGCTCAGCCTCTAGGGAGATGTCCATCTCCATCACCCCAACTGGAAAAGCCACATTTTCAGGACAGGCTATCAGCTCTGAGCTGATAAAGGAATGTGCTTATTCTAATCCCTCACAATAAGCAAATACATCACAGCACACTAGCTCCATGACTCTATTTCGAGGAACACATCAACTGGGTTTAAATTGCAGTATTTTCACTAACACTCCAGGGTAATGTGAAAAACTATCTCAGTAAGTGAAACACTAGAGTCGTCTTGGGAAATACCTGCAGACCGGACCCCAGTCCATGGAGGCTGAAGGTGTGGATCTGAGCATTCTTAGAATGGTGGCCCCCAACTGCACCCACCAAATACCATGCTGAGAGCCTTCCGGTCTGTGACAAGGACTTCTCTTAACTATCCAACTTCTTCAAATTCCATGTATCTGATTAGCTCTTCAAAGGACTGTTTCAAAAGCATTGATTAAGTCATCTTCTATTTATTATAGATGTTGACCATCACCATAGGTCACACGAGTTCCCTGAGATTTAAGTCAACACCTATGTATGGTATGACCCAGTGAATTAGCTGTCAGGAGACTTCAGGAGATTGATACAATTCACATAAAGTTGAGTCAGTTGGGGCCTTATTCTTGTATTATGCTTGTGATGTTATGATTATGTTGTGATGCTACATTGTTCTGTCACATATACAGAGAATGAAACTGTCCAACAATCATAAATAGAAAAAAACAACCAAAAAACAAAAAACGTTCTTACTTACAGACATCGGCAGCGAGTGAGCAGAAAAGAGAATGACCACGTCACTCCTCTTGTCCGGGGGGAAATGTTCCAGTTCTTTGAGAATGTGGTCGGCAAAGCACTGTGGGAACACCGGGAAAGGAGGGTCAGGAGACAGTGGGAGGGAAGGCAGGCCCCCTCCTGAGTGAGGGCTGTGGGGAACACCTCTGAGCTGCCCTCACAGAAAGGAATGTGTCTTTAAAAAAAGAGAAATAAAAGTTGAGTGATCCTTGCTCTGGTTCATCATCAGAATGGATTCGAACAGTTGCTGGGGCCCAGGGAATTTGCTGGGAAAACTTCTGAAGTTTGATAATGGTGCGGGGGCCCTGCTTCCCTGGGGAGGAGTGGGCTCACTTCCAGATGGGAAGGAGACACAGCCGCTGGGCTAGCAGGAAAAACGCTGACGGGGTCTTTCTGAGCCCTTCGTACTGTGGCGTTCGGGTGTGTATCACATCAGACATTGCAAAGGAAGACGACACACTCTTCTAGTTCTGCAGCCCTTGCCTACAAACCCCACTGGACTGCATTTCCTGAGGACAGACAGAGCCGGCAGCTCGCCCCTTACCCTCACCGAGGGGCAGATGCAGTAGGTTTGGAGGCCATCCGTCACATCTGTGGAATGTGGCCCAGAAGGTGGTCCCTTCCCCCCTCTGATCTCTGTCCACCAGACCCGTGAACTCCCCGCTAGCCGGCACTTTCTGACTCCCATCGATAGGTGCTGAAATGCCAGATCTGAAGAGGTCTGCTTTCATCTCCCCCTTTAATCATTCCTTGTCATTTAAGCTATAAAGGAAATGCTGCAAAGGGCAGTAATGGGTCAATTGACGAGATCGGAATACGAACGTAGAGTAGATACTGGTATCAGTGCTGCATTTGCTGAAGTTACTGTTATGTGAGAAAATACCCCAGATCTGAGGAAGTACACGCGTAAGTATTCAAATGCAATGGGAGAGGGTGGACGTATTATAACTTACTATCAAGTGGTTTGGGAAAAGGTTATGTGCTTTTACACACACACACACACACACCCTCATGGGTTCTATATTAATAATAGGACAAGCTAGGTAAAGAATCTTGGAAGGAGGAGTGGCACCCACTTCCATAATAGCTTGCCTCCAGAAACCCTATGAACCTGGAGAGAGGATGAAGGGCGCCCAAGCGTCGAGGACTCTCCTTCATAGGGTCGCTATGAGTCGCCTGCGATTCGACGGCACTTAACAACAACAGGCAAAGAATAGAAGTGACTTCCTTATACTATTCTCAGTCTAGCATTTTTCTCCATGTTTGGTGTTTCTGAATAAAAAGTTTCTGAAATAATGAGTACTGCATAAATTTTCATTTGTAAGTATTTTGAGGTTGTAGTGTTAATACGCCAGAATGAGCAAGCTCTTTGCTGACCAAATTCCAATATTATTAATCTTTCTAGAACCTGAAAATCTGGTAGATAAATAAAGTGTGGCACTAAACGGGAACTAGTGAATTAGTTTCCTTTTCAAATTTTCTCATTTGCCTACAGTGTAAATGTGGTAAGGCTGAATACAAACAAAAATAATACATTTACTCTTGCGGACTTTACAGTGTTTAGAAATTAGGGACACTCAGAAAAAATGAGATTTTGGACAACAGCCCAGATGGGAGATCAACTTCAAAGTTTATGGGGAGTCTGGGATTTAAGAGAAATAGCAATATTAATTAATAATAATAGTAAGATAATGCTCATGTAATTCCTGTCTATGATAAAGTGGATTAAAAATCATAGAAAAGTTTTCATCTTAGTTTCCCAGTATCTTCTAGTTATCAAAACTCCTCATATACTTCAAATTAGGAATAAATTCTATAAACTTGACTTCCAAAATAACTCACATCATTTCTGATGTTAGTATAGCTCTTCTTGAAAAAACCTTTAGTAAAGACACAACTGGTGTGGGTGTGGCAGTTGAGGGTGTTTGGAGGCCTGGACCCTGATCTCCATTCTGTACCCCACCTGTAGACCCTGGTCCCTATCTTGAACGCCATTTGCAGATCCCATCCAGATCCTGCACCCCCTCTGCAGACCCTGATTTCCAGCCAACACCCCATCTGCCGTCCCTCCTCCTGACCCCGCAGCCCATCTTGAAGACTCAGCCTGATCTCACACCCCATCTGCTAATCCCACTCTCAGCTCATCCCCAACTCCCACCCCATCTGCAAACCCCATCCCGATCAGGCACCCTATCTGCAGACTCGGATCCTGAGCCCGACGACCCCGCACCCCATCAGCAGACCTCGATCCCCAGCCCACACCCCCACTGTAGCCTCACGGAGGGCCTCCCCTCTGCACAATGAAAGGGCACCTCGCTCCCAGCCTTCAATCACCACCACTGCCAGACACACTGCGGAAATTCCCTTTCATTTCTCCAACAGAGACTTCCTCAGTTAAGAAGCCTCTCCATCTTTCCACTTCCCCCCTTTTCAAAGGCCTGAATTTTAATGTGGCGCTAATCACTCCTCCTTGGGCAGCAGGTGCTTCGCAGACCCCTCTGCATAGACCCCTCTGCTTCTCCCACATGGCAGCTCTCCCCTCTCACACCCCGTTTCCTGCTCAGGGAAGGGGGTGCTTGGCAAGCGGGACAGATTCACAGAACACATTGACGCCCGCATCCAGGCAAGGTCCCTTCTTTCCACTTTTAAAACAGGATTTCCACTCTCAGCCTTAATATCTTTCATCAACTGCAGGTCCAGGGACCCAGGCAATGCTGGGAAGAATGAGGCCACTTTCAATAACATCCAGCACCATCTAGTGGTCTGAGACTTTAAGTGTCCAACCCCAGGAATTTGAAAAAGTTAACAGAGTGAAGGCTCAGGGAAAGACTTGGCACATAAATACCCTACAGTCTGACCTCAGATAACTCAAATACAGAAACGTCCACCAAGAGAACAAAATAATGTTCTTGGAATTACCAGCCAGGTTTCCATATTCAAAAGGGCAGAAGTATGCACAAATAGCAACAAAAAGGCATTAACTTTATAAAAACACAGTTTTAACAGATTCTCCAAAAATAAACTGTTAAAAGAAATATTATGTACTCTGTAGAATATGGCCATATGAATGCCACAGACCTATTCATCTATGAAATCATCGTATCTGAAATGTCAGCTCCTTAGAAGAGAGGATGGCGGAGGGACTCTTTCTACGAAGATGGCGCCAAAAGCGAAGAAAGAAGCCCTTGCCCCTCCCAAAACTGAAGCCAAAGCAAAGGCATTAAAGGCTAAGAAGGCGTCCTGAAGGGCATCCACGGACAAAATAAAAAGAAGATCCACACATCACCCACCTTCCAGCGGCCCAAGACGCTGAGACTCCAAAGGCAGCCCACATACCCCTGGAAGAGCGCCCTCAAAGAAACAAGCTTGACCACTATGTCATCATCAAATTTCCCCTGACCACTGAGTCAGCCATGAAGATGATAGAAGATCACAACACACTTGTGTTCATTGTGGATGTCAAGGCCAATAAACACCAAATCAAACCAGCTGTACAGGAGCTACATGACACTGATGTGGCTAAGGTCAACACCTTGATTAGGCCTGATGGAGAAAAGAAGGCCTATGTTCGACCTGCTCCTGACTATGATGCTTTGGATGTTGCCAACAAAATTGGGATCATCTAAACTGGGTCCAGCTGGTTAATTCTAAATACAAATTTTTCTCACCAAAAAAAAAGGAGAGGATGGCAAGACGGCGACTCACATAGCAAACATGTTCTCAGGAGGGAGAAGGATCTCATGTTTGGTAAAGCCGAGTGTTGGCGAACGGAGGGAGAACCTCAGTGAGATGGACTCACACGGTGCCGACAGCGGCGAGCGTGGCCTGCGAGGCTGGACAGGGCGTGAGAGGCTGGACAGGGCGTGAGAGGCTGGACAGGGCGTGAGAGGCTGGACAGGGCCCGAGAGGCTGGACAGGGCGTGAGAGGCTGGACAGGGCGTGAGAGGCTGGACAGGGCCCGAGAGGCTGGACAGGGCCCGAGAGGCTGGACAGGGCCCGAGAGGCTGGACGGGGCCCGAGAGGCTGGACGGGGCCCGAGAGGCTGGACGGGGCCCGAGAGGCTG